CCCCCGCCTCCCCTCGGCGATAAACCCGGAATCTCCCCTTCCCCTCCCGTGTTTTCCGCCTCTGCAGAGCAGGCAGCAGCAGGCACGGCAGCGAAGATGTCGGGTCAGACGCTGACAGATCGCATCGCAGCTGCTCAGTACAGCGTTACGGGATCAGCCGTAGCCAGAGCCGTCTGCAAAGCCACCACGCATGAAGTGATGGGGCCCAAGAAAAAGCACCTGGACTGTGAGCATCCCTTTTTGTTTCCCCAGCGAAGACCCGGGGCTGAGGAGGCTTTTAGCGTGCCTTTGAGCCGTCTGGCTCTCGCGCTTGCTGTAAGCCAGCTCACAAACCGTAAGGGTTATGAGAAATCTCCAGGAGAGGATGCGTTATTATTGCATTTCTTCTCTTATTGCATAATACTGCTCTTTCAGCCATTTTTTTTCTTTTTTTTCTTCATGACCTCTTGCCTTTTATCCAGGAAGGCAGTGCGAAGCGTGCCTTGCGCAGCAGGGGCTTGGAAAGAGGGGAGGGAATTGGACACAGGGCAAAATGGACACGCGCTTGTCACTGCCTGCTTTGGTCAGGATTAAGCTAGGCAGAGACATAAATGCTACTCCAGGAGCTGGCCAAGCACCGGTAGGAGTGTGGCCGTCTCCACAGCAGACTTCTGAAGAGGTTTAGGTGGTGGTGTGCTTAAATGGCAAGGCACTTGGATAACGCTACGGTGTAGGCTGGGACAGCCTTTGGAAAGCTTAAGGGCTGTTGTTGAGGTCCCAAATATCAGAGAGCAACTATGAGCTGCCTGATGGTTTGCATCATGTTTCATTGAAGATGGCTGTAGCTTTGTCTCAAAGATTTGTGATCTATTCTGGACTGGCATTAGCTAGTTAATGCATGAAACAAGGTTGAAGTCAAAATGTTTCTTAAAAAACAATGAGCTAGTGATGTTTTGTCTTGACAATTTTATTTCTTTTCAACCCACTCAACTGTCAGTCCCTGCTTGGAGACACCAAGGAATAGAATGGTGAAAGAATGTAATTGCATGATGTTAATTGGCCTTGTTTACCAGTAGTAACTCTGTCCAGCATTGAACTCAGTAGATCAACAGCAGGTTTCAATGTCTAAAATTAAGTGGTTTTCCTTTTTTGTTTTTTTTGGACATGGTAAGAAACACTTTCAGGTAAAGATCAGCAGGTTTTATACCAAGCAGTCTCTTGGCTGCTGGCCATTACTAAGTAATGCTGGTGCAGGTGCATGTAAGTACAATTCTGATGATGCTGTATTTCTTAAAAGGAGGTGGTATTACTTCTGGAAAATAATTTCAGATTTCAGTGCTAATGACTTCATAGCTAACCCTTAAAGTGGCAAACAGCGTGTTGGTCTTCCAGTATATCTAAATACTCTTGTATATATGTCTAAGAGATGCTGATGTAAGCAGCATTGAAGACTGACTTGAGTCTAAACCGTTGTTTAAATAGATTGGCTGTCTGGATATCCTGTATTCTCTCTTGTTTGCTTGGATATTTTAAAAAATCATTTTGGTTATTGATGTCTCTTATGTTGCTGTTTGGTAGCTGTCGACACTTCTTAATCTGTAGGCTGTGTCTGGACAGTCCTACTGTATCTGCTACTAGAAGCTTCAGCTTAAAAGCCTAGCTCTGTGTTTAAAAGCATGCTGTGTCTCTCTGTGTGTATTTTAATATATATACACACACACATATATATAAATAAAAATACTATCTGGAATAGGCAGGATTAAACTGAGGTAGAAATAATTTACCAGTGCTATATTAAGGTCTGGAAAGGGCTTGTGTTTGGATATTGGTGCTACTACTACTACTTCAGAAAATGAGCATGGGAGAGACTGAAGCCGGTAGCATTCCATGCAATTTCATACCCACCTGCATGTAAGACACACAAGAGGAAGAGATGATCATTTCCTGGGAAGATACCTCCCTGATCATTTTTCCTTCTATTTTCCAAGCTGTATATAACAGTTGAGAGTTTAACTAACTGGTATCATTAAAGACAGAATCTTGTCAGTGGGAAATATGCACATTCAAGATTGTGGACTATAAATGAAAATCAAGTTCATGTTTTAGAAGAAAAAATATTCTCAGGCTCTTAAACCTGAGGCATGTCCTCAGAACTATGAATGGTTAGGCAATTCCTTGGAACTCTGACATATATCTTGTAAGCGAGTGTTAAAATGGGCCTTATCTATTGTAATGAGAGAGTAAATTAAAAGTTCATCCTCTGAAAGAGCAATATCCCCATGCATGCAGGACGTACTGCTAGGTGGAAGTATATCTGCGCCACGTGTCTGCATTTCAGATTGGATAAGTAGCATTTGAAGATGTGGAGAAGGGAATGAAAGGTAAAACTTGCCAATGCCTTAAGGTAAGTTTTGAGTCAAGGTGCGAAGGATTTAGATGATTAAAACTTAAGGTACCAGAGAACGATGGTTGGAGTGATGCTTTATGAAGAGCTGTAATTCTAGCAGTGGTGTGGGGGTTCTGTGTCATTAGGGAACTCCATAATTTTATTTAGTGTCTTAGTGGCCAGGTGTCACGTCACACAACCTATCTTCCACTTCTCTGCTTAGCAGATAGGCTTTGTAAATTAAATGGAGAGATCAACTATTTAACATGAGTTAAGTAGTCCTGTGAGGATGGGACACGATGCCTGTCCTCATATGTTTTTTTACAGAAGATATTAATTCCAGAGGGTTATAGAAAGATGATAGGTGACAAGGTGTGGGTTGGGGTTTTTTTTGGTTTAGGTTTTTTTAGCGAGTACCACTTAGAGGGAATTTGCTCTGAGGAGTAAAAAGCATGATTTGGGTATGAGTACATGTGTGTGAGGAAGGGAGGAAAGAACAGAACGAATGTCTTCTGTGAACAAAAGCTGAGCTGCTATGTGTTTACCTTTGTGTGGTTTTCTGTACTTGCATAGCTTACACGTGCAGGCTTTAATGTGGATGCTGCATAGTGGCTGTCCTTTGGCATTGACTCTGGGTGCTGCACAGGCTTGTCATGTGGAGAAGTACTAAAGTATGATTAGGTTGCTGTCCTATACTCATTACTAAGATTTACCATTTTCTTGAATTTCAACTCTTGTACTGTGAATTTCAAGCGACTGCGGGAAGTCGTGCCAGATGGCATTAAATGCATTTTCCAAGTCCCTGTGGGGAGAAAAGGAATGTAAATCTAGGATGCTTTGATGGTTTGGGGCAAGCAGTTGCAGTTGGCACATTAACAGTTCTGCCCCTTTTGGACTTAACAAACTTGTCGTCTTGAATCCATATCATTGTGGTGACTTTATCTCCCTCAGCTAACTGTGTTGTGTTACATAAATTACAGTTAGATACAGCAAATGAGGAAAGCATTTCCATGGAGAAGCGGGCATTAGAAACTTGATTTTGCTGCAGTGAGAAGGGCCATTGCAGAGTGGGTGAATGAGATATATGGACTATGTTAAGGATATATGAGCTGTGGTAATTCAACTGGGAGGACGATCCTAGTGCATAGCATAGAAGTTTCATTATCGGAGTTGTTCTGAAAGGTATGTTAAGGCTTCACAGAGGGTTTAATTGTGTGGGGCAAGTAAAAGCCAGCTTCCAGCCTCGAATAGGGGCGACTCTGATGATATCACCAGGGAGAAGCTTTCGGAGAAGGGAAATAACTTGACTTTGAAATGTTAAAACACATGATAGATGAGGGAAAAATAAGTAGATCTGAACTCAGCTCCTTTTATAAAGGATGTCGCTCAGAAACAGCCAGTCAAGGTTTCATTTAGGGAAGTGAATTGGAAACCAGTGAGGTTGTTGCATCTGCAGTTGGTCGTAACAAGTTCCTGTTTCTGAAAGTGATCAAAATGGCTGGGATTTTCCTTGACTTATTTTGTTGAGTGAATTGCTTTGCAGCAGGAGGAAGTTTTGGAGTGTATATGCTAAAAAGACCATGTGGTGCCTCCTTACTTCTTCAAAATAACTCTTATAAGGTAGAAGGCCCTTCCGGAGGCCTGATCAAGAGCTGGGAGATTTTCGTGAAATGTGGAAACAAAGCAGATGAACATCAGGACTTGTTTTTTTGTGGCTGTGGAGATGACCTGTGTATCTGTAGTAACATCTTTCCATCCCAAGTCTAATTTTGCACATTTGTATGTGGCTGACAAAGGCTCTAAAAGGAAATTTGTAGCCTAATTCATGCTGGTAACTGAACTGCAGAGCTGGCATCAGTATTTTCTTTATACGGACACTTGTCCCTGCAGTGTTTTCCCTTTTTCCTGCAAGCTGGGGGGATGACCTAACAAGTTTGGATCACCGTGGTCTCTAGTGTTGAAACAGAAGTGGCTGTTGACCAGAAGCAATGGGTTAAACCTTTTTCCTAAGCTTAGTAAATATAAAGGTGCTAGATCCCACAGGTTAGTCTTAGAAACCTCTATCTTATTCCTGAGGAATATGTCTGTGTCTGTTTTTTGGGAGAGGTGGGGGTCAGTGGAGCTATCTTGAGTCACTAGGCTTCAGTGACTACTAAGGTTAACTTGGATGCGTATTTCAGAAGTTTTTTGCTGTTGAAGTGATTTGGGGAGTGTTCCAAGTCTGTTGGCACTTGGGGCCCTTTCCTAGCGGGAGTTGTGCAGACGTACGAGTACTGCATTGCTCTGCAGTCCAGGTGACACTTTGTCTTTACGGCCGTGGAATTACCTTCAAGAAAATTGCCAAGAGCAGAATCCCTGTACAAACTGGGCTTAATCCTTCACACTTTAGTAAAGAAACTACTTCTGTATGTCTTGCTGTATCTTGTATTGCAGTAATTTGTCACAGTTTCCATGTATGAGAGAACTTGTTTAAAAGTTAGCATTGATGAGCTGTAATACAGTGTCTTTTGGTTTTTGTTGACACAGCTGGGGTGTATTCTAAATTTTGAACTCCTCCTTGTCACCCCAATGAATCTCTTCCACACCTGAAAAGAAAATTCCAAGCAAGCAATTCTTTTCTTTAATTCATTAATGGATGTTGGATTAGCACTTTTTTGTGTGTGTGTAAGGACTCGTCACCAGTCTCTGTTCTCTGTTTCTGTGGGCTTCTCTCATGCCCTTTCCCAAAACAATATTGAAGACTCGCTTCATTTGGAGGTGTGTAGATCTCTGAATAGGTGTAGAAATGTCTGTCATGGGTAAGGGGAGCTAATAAGAAGGCTTTTTAGATTAGTTGATCGCGAGTATTTCAATGGCATTAA